ATAGCTCGTACGATAATCTAAGATAGATAAAACTAATACCGTTATACTAATCGAGAGATAAGGAATCTAATATAGTTATCGTATTTTAACTATATCCCTTAGTCGTAGAGATATAATAATCGCTAGCCCGAAGGCATAAGAAGTAAGGAGAAAAAAGGAATAAAACGTAAAAGTTACTTATTCGGCTATAGCGGTACGACGAAGTAACTTAAGCGCCTATAACTAAAATAAATATACTAATCGGAGAACGACGAATCTAATAATAAAAACGAATCTTTAATTAAGGTAAAAATAATAAAGATAGCAATCTAGCTAGGTAATAAACTAGATAATAAGCATAGTATAGCCCGTACTTACGAGAGCTATGGTTACTCTATATAGGCATAAGGCCTATCGTAGCGTATCACGTAATGAATCAAGAGGGCATGTCTTACCGCACCACTACAGTATATGTATAAAACTATAATAAGAGATACGCTAGCTTATAGCTTCCTATTATATATTCTCAATAAAGTAATAAATGCGTACGTTCGCGGATTCGTAATTAAACGTAAGCTAGGGTAGGTATTATTAAGACTCTCCTAAGTACGGTACTTACGACCTAGGTAACGTATTCGACTTTCTAGTTTTCGTTTAACCTTTCCTCTTTTTTTTTCGCTATTTTACGGTTCCGATCTATTTCCTTTCTTTCTTTTCCTGGGTCCCTTATTTTCGTTTTAATTCGTTTTTCGATTTTTTTTAATTCTAGAATTATAATTTCGTTGTTTCTAATTTTCTCTTTCTTATATATATATACCATAAACCCTACCCTCTAAAAGAAACTCCTGAAACTAGACCGGGAGGCTGCCCTTAAGCTACTCGAGTAGCTTAAGGTTCCGGGAATTACCGACGAGGAGATCGCTAGGGTAGCCGCGAAGGCTAAGAACGATAAGAAGAAAGCCGTAACGTATTAGCGAGCTAAGTCGATACCGCCGCTGGTAAAGCTAATAAATAAATAGCTCGACTTCCGGGATATTAATCGGCTAATTCCTTAGCCTTAGTAAGTACCGCATATCCTGTACTCTCGCCCCTTAGACTAGAGTCCATAAGTTATTATCAGCTAATAGCTCAGAGGTATCAAGGGAATTCGGGTAATAAACTAATAGCGCTAGGTATATATTTCTTAATATTAATAAGATTTATGAAGCTAGGATTAAATTAATTAATAGTAAGATAATTCGTAACGTTTGGTTTTATTTTCCAGGTAGGCCGGCGGCCGGCCGGTATATTACATAGTGAACAGGAGCAGCGTGGGCACGCTGTGATGGAGGCACGAAATAAGGACTATCCAACTGCCAACAACTGTCCCAGTGCCGATTAACCAAGATTACAGCTGTAAATAGCTGTAATCGGTTAATCGGCCAGCTGAAAACGGCAGCTGGAAAAGGGAACTAGAAAAAGGACAAGGGTAACGAGGATAGCTAGAAAGGCATAGTAAGAAACGAGTAAATGACTATAGGCTGTGATGTCTATAGGTCTAAGTCTAACTAATGAAAATATAAGTGCGCGACCTATATAAATATATATCCAAAAGGCTACGTGGCTTAGATCTACTGCACTACTATAGCCTCCCTAGTTTAATTAATCCGCAAAGAGTAATTGAACTCTTAATAATAGGTACGGTAGCTCTCGTTCCTGTTAAACCTGATCCTAATCCCGATTAACCCTAATTAACTGAAAGCTAGTTAGTTTAATTAAAGGCTAATAGAATAAGTCAGGGAATAGGTTAACTAGGAACGATTATAATAGTAATAAGTAGGTAGTGGGGTAGGTGACTGCAACCGTACCTAACTATGCCTAATCCTAAACCTGATTAATCCCGAACCTATTTAATCGCTACTAACTAGGAGCTAAGCTAGTTTAACTAACGATTAATAGGAAATAGGAAAGATCTGATAATAAGAACTAGGCTAGCGGAGCTATATCCTGTAAACTAACCTAATTAACCTATTCCTAATTAACCTTAATTAATTAGGAGCGAGCTAGGTTTATTAGGGCTACTAAGAAATAATAGGGATTAATCGGAAAATAGGAACTATAACGGGTAGGTAAAACAAGCGTAGCTCCCGTAAGAAATAAAGAAATAATTCCATACGATATAACGTAATCTCCGTCCTTTTCGTTTATAGCTGTCTTTGATCGATCCTTTTAACTAATCCTAATCCTATAAACTAACTAATATATCCTATTTAATGCTCGTTTTTATGATTCGTTTTTAGTAACCGTTCCTATATTCGTCCGGTAGTATCTACCGGGCTTTCCTTGACCCTTGATCCCTCCCCTATACGTAGTTCTAGGGGCTCTAGCTCTTCTTATTAACCATATATCGATAAGGGCGATAAGAGGGATCTTTAGGCATTAACCTATAATTATTTCTTATCCTATAACTTATAACTGTTCTTTCTTTTTTCTAGGCTGTTTTATTTAATATCGTATCTATTTCGTATCGCAGTATCGTTTATATGGGTCTTTAAGGTTAATCGGTAGGTTCCTCGATTAGATTCGTAGGTATAAGGTCTATCGGTATCTTCGTATAATAGTTAAGGGCATCGTGGTACCTATCGGTTAAGGAGGTAAGGAGAGACCTCCCTAGGTACCGTAATTAGTTAAAAGGGATAAAATAAAGGCGATCGGAGTTATCGGTAAGCCTCTTATAATTAAAATAAATTAATCGGTAAAGAACGGATGCCTTTAAGTTCGTACGAGGTTATAAAAAGGGGTGGTAGCGGTAACTTAGTTAGATTAACTAAGGGCGAAAAAACTGCTATCTAGGTACTAGTGAAAAACGAAGGCGAAACCGGGTAAAAACGGGCATAGCTCCTTTAAAAGAGATAACTAAGAAACGAGAACAGGGATTCCTATTAATCGAAGAACGAGCTTTTAGGTAAGTTAATTAAAAGCTAATGGGAAGGCGTGGTTATTAATGGTCGCCATGGTTATCTACCCACCCTATTGTTGATCCTATTGCCTGACCTAAAAAGGCTTAATCTAAAAGCTACGAAAACGGCTCTGGAGCTACGAAAATAGCTCCTAATTAATTAAAAAACAGCGAATCTCTTAATCGACGAATCCTGAACCTAATGACTGTAAAAACGGGCGCAAAAGGTCGCTCTTAAGACTAATGAGGTTGCGGCTCGGGCTACTAGGTGGTCGCCACTGAATAGGAGTAGCGTAGGTACGCTAACGGAGGCACGAAAAGGGCTACCTAATTACTAATAACTAGCCCAGTACCGATCAACCTAAGATTATAGCTATAAATAGCTATAATCGGTTAATCGGCCAGCTAAAAACGGCAGCTAGGAAAGGAGACTAGAAACGGGCAAGGGTAACGAGGATAGCTAGAAAGGCATGATAAGAAACGAGTAAATGACTATAGGCTGTGATGTCTATAGGTCTAAGTCTGACTGATGAAAATATGAGTACGCGACCCATATAAATACACATCTAAAAGGCTACGTGGCCTAGATCCACCGCACCACTACAATAGGAGATCCTAAGTAAAGATTTTTAGGAGGTTACCTATCTTTAGAGCTATGTTATATCCTTCGCCCGCTACGTTTAGTCTTTCCGCCGTCGGACGTTACTCGTAGAGATTAATAATAACGGGCCGGTCGGCGAATATTTCCGTCGATTAGCGACGGATCCTCGTTACGTCGTTAGCTTAATTATTTAATAATATAAGGTACCTAATAAGGTACCTTATTAATACTACGAAAGCCGGCTCGCCTCTTCCGATACTACTAAATACGTAGGTCTATAACCGTTCTTTTCTTATCGTTTCCTAGCTTCCGATCGTATCTTTAAGTACTCCTATAGCGTTTACCTCTTTCCTATTAACGGGGTACGTTATAAATTTCGGAACGAGCGGTTCGTTTACCTATGGAAGAGGATAGATCGTAATTTCCTTTTAATAAAGAATCTAAGCTAAACCGCGTACCTGTTTATATTATAAGTAATAGGAGATAAGTTATTAGTTATAATAAACTCGAATATCGCTACGTTCCGGGGGTCGGGAAGTAAGTAAGTTTTTAGTTTTCTTAATAACTAATAAGTAAGGGATAGGGTAAGGGTAAGGGAATGAAGAAGAAAAAAGAGGTACTAATCGGCGGATATATATTACTTCTAGCTCATTTTTAAACGTATATTTCTTTTCTTTCTTCTTACTTTTACTTTTATTAATATAAATTACTTTCCTTACTTTCCCTTTAAATATTAAAATATACCTATATTAAAACATAATAGTTTCGTAATATTAAGATATTAACATTCCGGATTTCTAACGATAAACGTAAAGGATAACCTATCTAAGTATAAGAATGCGTTAATCGGCGTTAATAATCTATAGAAACATACTTTCTTTTAAGGTAAGAAATAAGGAAAGGCGGATCTATTAATATCGTAATTTAAGGTACTAATTTCGTATATAAGCTACCGGTTTAATAACTATATAGGAATAACTTCTTTCCTTCCTTACTTCGGAAAGCGATTATATATTAAGCTCTTAGGCTTTATTTCTCTTCGATCGGTATGGTTGAGATATCTTTAGTCTTGATCACAGAGCCAATCATCCGCCTATGTCGTAAGCATGTCGAGGCATATACGCGAGGTTTGAGTCATACGCCTCCTTCACTGTTACCGACATGGTCGCGACAGAAACCCTACCCATTTCCCATGCTTGAATCCGTCCACCAGGGTCGAACTTCATGCAGAAATCCTTGGTCTGGAATATGTTAAAGGGGCACGCAAACGTGAACTCATCTCTCGGGAATTGAAATGGTACTTAGTAATTAACGGGTTAGATTAGAGTCTCGAAGAGTCGGGCAAGCTGGAATATACCGAGCTATAGTTGTTTAAGCCCGGCACTAGAAACCAGCCGTAGCTATTAGTACCTAGATGTATCATCTATTTCTAAGCATTAAGGTTCTACTGAAACTACCCATGCTTTCGTCATATTAGACACCTCACATACCATCTCCCGGCTCATCGATTCCACCCGGACTACCCTGGCGTCCTATCTGTCGTGCCTTAAGTAGCTTATCGCATAGCAACAGGTTCGAGGCTATGCTGGAGCTAGACGCGATACAGTTTCTCAGTACTCGGAAAGAGTCATACACACCCTCTAGCTCCGGATCCATGGGCTATCCGGTAGTAAGATCGAGTCCTACGACATTCCCCTCTGTATACTTATCCTACAAAGCAGTAACTAATCTCGTTAACTTATGAACCTACCCTAGTAAAGCAGGGGTTTACTTACGCGCATCCTAAATATCGAGGCCGGCGTTTACTGCCAGAGTCTTGGGGATAATTAATAGCGCATTAGCAAACGCCGCGATACCCTACTTCGCCTTACCCTTTACTATCTTTGAAAACGCGTCGCCCTTGAGGTACGCCGCGTAGGCGACCTAATACGTACCCGCCCTAGGAATAACGCTCTTGTCGATAATGGTATTGTAGACGCTACGTAGGCCATCCCGTACCGCGTTAGTAACCTACGTAATGGTATACTGGTTCGGCCCCTTAACGAGGATCGTTACCGACTTCGGATCCTTAACCTCCTCGATAAATGTGAACTTCTCCTCGCCCAGAGTCTGCTCGTAAACGAGACTAGCCTAACCGAGGATCTCCGGCGATAAGTCCTCGACGCTATTCTGCGCCGTCCCGCCGTATACGAGCTACAGCCGCTCCATATTCCGCCTCTTAGCCCTCCGAAGGGCGAGGATGCCGTTCTTAGCGAGGACGTCGAGCGATAGCGGGTCGATTCCCTTCTAGTTAATAACGATGAAGCTCTTCTCGGCGTCGCCGCCGTATACCTCCTTCTTAAGTTCGATAATCTTCCTTAGCCTAGCGTCGACGAAGCGCCGCTCGCTCTCTACTAACTTGTCGCGCTACTCGGCGCTCGAGTAGAAAAAGCCCGAGTTGATCTCCGACTTCTCGTACTCGAGGCTAACGTTAAGCGTTAGGATGTAGGCGTTCTCGAGCCGTTTCGGCATATCCGGGTATCGCGCCCCGTAGTCGAGCGCTAGGCCGCGGATGAGCTACGTATCGGACGCGGTCCGGTACTGCATCTTTATGATCTCGATTATGTATAGGTCCGGCTTCGCGGGCGCCTGGTAGATAGCGAGAACGGCGTCGACGATGTCGGGGTAGAGCTTTACGGCGAGGCTCGCGTTTAGTTTCGTAGCGAGAGATATCCTTACTACGTTAAGGAGGAGTTCCCTGTCGATCTCACGAAGAAGCTTAAATTTATCTAAGAACTGGAGAGGGTTAGCCTTGTGGGGACGTTAGTATGGGATGCTCTAGTCTACCTTAAGAGCCTTAACCTTGGCTATCTCGAACCCATCCGTGATTATCCGTAGGTATAGATCCTCGGCGATATATCTCTCCGCCTGCTTAAGAAGTTTACTAACCAAGAGCACTACAGAGGTCGTTCCGTCTCCGTAAATATCGTCTTATATAGTGGCAGCTCGTGCGATTATTACTGCCGTCGGATTCATGATTTACATTTCTCGAAGAAGGACGTTACCGTCTTTCGTTAACTTAATCTACACGACAGTTAGGGCTTATTCGAAGCATGAGGAGGTAGGCAGGCCGAACCTATCCAGCTCCATCAACCAGCCTAGATACGAAACATTAGTATATTATCGGCGATACCGGTAATAGCTTCGCACGAGGTCGAAGCCTAAAGCTAAAGGTATAAATAATACGAGAAGGGCGAGGACTTACATCTTGATCGTTCCTAGAGGACCTAGGTTTAACTTCAAAACATTCTGAAGACCTTCGCCCGCGCTAACGTTAACCTAGAGAGCTTCCCCCCTCCGCTATCGCTCCATTAGCCGTATATTACATACAAAAAGATACGGCGAGTTTACGAACCAGAGACTCGGCTTTGGGATTTAATAGTTGTGCAGCCGATATGGTAATCTCGTCTCGAAGGAGTTGCCTGACTCGGCTGTTTTCCGCGAGGTGGGACGCAACTTTTTCCTGCCTGGAGGGGCTACGGTAGTTCGGTGTGATCGGTGTGATCGGTGGAGTGCGCTGGTCCAATTAGAAGCCTCGCTGTCTGATTTATTACGGAGTCGCATAGCTACAACTGGGAAAAAAACTCCACTTTTCGGTACGTATACCCTAGGGGTGTGGTAGGTAGGAAGGTGCAGGTTGAATATTCAATTACACGTAGGGAAGGAGCTACCCTCTAGTTAGGTCGGCTAATAGGTAAGCTAGACTACCCCTTCGCGAGCTGGGTATTTTATATAGGTTTACATATAAACGATTTATCCCCGTAAAAAACTAGGAAAAAATCGGAAAAATCGGAAATTTACTTACGTAATTAATTAACTTGATTAAATTAACATATAAACTTTTTGGTCTTTTCGCTTAGTAATATAAGAAATTATTTACGATTTAAGGTTTTTGGAAACTGCACTAACAGTTTGCTATATAATTTATTAGTAAATCTATTAACTGTACTCTATATCGGCCTCTTAACCTATTTTTTTCACGGTAATAAAGTGGGTCTATTACCTAATCCTTTATACTATAGATAGAATGATGGTTAATATTATGTAAACTTTTTTCATTTTATTTTTTTTGATTTTTATTAAATTAAATAAGTCTTAAAAACGTTGATTTTTAGTGTTCTTTTTTAGAACCTCTTTGTATGGAAAAATAGGATAGTCGGAAAGGTAGAATTCTTACTATGAAAATAGGTACGATTTGAGAAAGTTTTAACCTGTTTAAAAACGTAGTTTTTTTAAAATAATATATTAAATAAAAACGAAATTAAAGAATAAAAATAAGATTACTTAAAACTAGCTATTTTTCTATTTATGAAATGAAGTATTAGGTAATAGATCTACTTTATCACCGTAAGAAAAATAAGTAAACATGTCGATATGAGCACAGTTAATAGGGTTACGAATAAATTATATAGGAAACTGTTAGTGCAGTTTCCAAAAACCTTAAATCGTAAATAATTTCTTATATTACTAAGCGAAAAATCTAAAAAGTTTATTTGTTAATTTAATCAAGTTAATTAATTACGTAAGTAAATTTTTAATTTTTCTGATTTTTTCGATTTTTTCCCAGTTTTTTACAGTGATAAATCGTTTATATGTAAACCCATACAAAATACCCGGCTCGCGAAGGGGTGGCTCGCGAAGGGGTAGCTCGCGAAGGGGTAGTCTAGCTTACTTAAGAGCTAATGAATACTGTGTAATCTAGTTAGAACCCCAAAGAATACTTCAACCTTTCCTTCTCGTAGAGCATACGTTGTTTGGTGGAGTGCGAAGAGCCGCATGTAGGGAATAGGGGCGATTAGTGTATTTTAGCACCTATACACTTCTTAAGACCTCTATGTAAAAGGGGGTGTCATTTCGGGACTCCAGACCTCTATAGTGCATACAATTGGCGTACTATAATAGAAGAGTAAGGGCATCCTAGATACCGTTAGATACGCCGAGTCCGTCAGCCATCGTAAGGCTGGGTTACGCAGCCCTGTTAAGTCGTTACCAAAGTGAACGTTCGAAGTCAAGCAGTCGCTAGGACACAGAAATAAGGACTATCGTGGGAGCCAGCCATCGCAAGATTCGGTAAACTGTTCGTTCGACCGTGGTAGGTATCTGTTGGTCTGAAGGTTTCGTTGTCTATTCGATTCTGAATGGATAAAACAGAAATACCCCTCGTCGAAGGCTGCGCCAGTCACGAGATATGCAAGCCTACCCAATCAGGCCGCCTCATCTGGAGCAGTAGGTTCGCCGACTTACAGTATATCTCGGTCAATATAATACCGCCCACAGCAGCCATCATGCTTATTTTCTTTGAGCATTAGTCGCAGATTATTCCAATTCGGTGGTCGCTGCGAAAGCCCAGACACATCATTAGATCTGAACAGCATAGCTTTTGTTTAATTTAAAGAATCCAAACAAGCGAGGAACGCCGAGGACCAAGGAATTTTAGAAATGCCCATCGTAACGAAGGAGCGGAAGGGCCTCCTCTGCCTTGGTCTCCTCTACCTCGGCCTTCCTTGCGCAAGGCATCAAGCTGACTGGCCCGCAATGCAGCTAAAGCTGCGCAGCTGCGCAGGCGCTGCTAGGAACGATTTACCATGCGTATATAACTAAGGAGGGACCGCTTAGCCCTAATAAGGCTTCTATATCCAGTCCTATTTAGAATTAAATATAGCTTGGTGTAAGAAATATATATAACTTATGTGGCCGTACATCGCTACTTGGTAAGCTGGTTACTTACACTGCAGCAATAATAATACCCTGCCCATCACCAGGTGGCTGATACATTCCCTAAGAAGAGCCCTTTCTTGCGTTTCGGTCCTTTTTGCTGATGATAAGAGAACTAACATCATTAAGTCCCATTCAGCCGGAAGAAGAGGACATTCTGTATTTGGGAGGATGAAACTGCTAATTATAAGATACAAGTCTTAGTTTATTAAAGCCTTTACTTGTTTTGGGCTTTTAAAATATAGATTGTTAGGCTGTTATAATATATTACTAGAAACTTGTTATCGCAAGCTGCCACTTACTGTTTAACTACCTAAGTACAGACAGAAGAGCTTTGCTCACTGATTGCAAGAGATATAAACCGACCTAGCGGAGTAGACCCATCCGCCTGCACTCCTTTTTCTTCCATATCACGGTACATCTTATCGATATAATCCCCGGCTGCTGACAAATGGAGGATATGGGCAATAGCACAATGGAGAGCTAGCAGTCGACGTGACGGAGGCTCGATTATTCGTTCGGGAGTAAGATAAAGCTCACGGGTAATAGGAAATGCTGCTTGCAGGATTACGATATTACAATGAGAGCGGCCCGAACTCATAACAAGGACGAAAAGAGATGGGCTAGGCCTGTTGCTATTAACACTCCTGGTTTAAGTAGACAACGATGGTGGATCGAGAAAGATGAGGGTGCCTTCGGGGGTGCCTGCTGTAATGGGCTGTGCCCATTATAGGGCCCTAGCTAGTGCTAGGGCATAGCACGTAATCAGGCCCTCAGTACCTACGGAGGATAAGGCCAGCTGTCGCAAGTACGGCCCACAGGGCATACTTTCTTCTTTTTCTCCTCGTCTAGCTTTAGTTTATTAACATACGGCTTTTACCTAGCGAATAGCTCTTAAAACCGTAATAAAAAGCTAAACTAACCTTCTTTTATCGTTTTACGGAAGCGGTAGTATCTTAGCGAGCGGAATTAGTAATAGGAACGGCGATATAGTACTAAAGGAAGCGGTAGCTAGTAAAGTTAATAGTCGGAAAAGCGGTATTAGCTTTTAAATATACGCGTCGGTAGTACCTACGAAAAAGGACCGACGAGATAATATCTTAGTACGCGGGATTAGTAGTAGGAAAGGCGATATTAATACCTAAGGAAGAGGTAGTCGGTAAAGTTAATAGTCGGAAAGGCGGTATTAGCTTTTGGATATACGCGCCGGTAGTAGCCTACGAACGAGGACCGATATAAAATAACCGAAAAAAACGACCGATAGACCCCGAGAAAACGTAGATTTAAATAGTAATTTCGAGATAAGAACGACGAAAAATACGGCTAAAAACGGCGGAAAATCTTTTTCCGGAGAAAGATAGTAAAGCGCTAAAGTATAACGCTTATCGACGAATTAAGAACGCCCGAGGCGTAATATAAGAAGGAACGGCGTTAAAATAGCGAGAAATACGATAAGGTTTCGGCGTTAGAATAATAATACTTCGATAAAGGTACTAGAGGTACTAGCGGTTTTCGGAGAGACTACCGGTTTCTTAATAGTATCGATAAGGGCGCTAGCGGCGCTAGTAGTAAACGGAAGGGCGCGCCTTAGTACGCCCTTAAACGGAGCCCTTAGCTCCGCTAGCGAAAGATAAACGATAGTCTTTAAACGAATAAAAACGGCGTACCTTAATACGTCCTCCGGTAGAGCCTCGCGGTTCCGCTAGTAATACGGATAAGCCCCTAGCCTTTAAACGGTAAGAAAGGCCGTAGGCCTTTTAACGGTAGTAGATAGGAAGGCGCGCTTTAACGCGTTCTTAAGCGGACTTCTTAAGGCTCCGTTAATAAACGAAAGATAAACGAAGGTTTTTAAACGGCGGTAAACGGACCGACGATTCCGTAGCTACGGAAACTAAGCTAAACCTAATAAGCGTTTATAAGCGACTTCGTACGCGAGGCTTTAAAGTTTTACGGTTTAATAAAAAGATAGGAATTAATAGCCTTTAGGAAATAATAATATCCCGGGAAACGAAGATAATAACCCGGGAAGTAAATAACGTAACCCGGGAAACGGAAACGGCGGCCTTAGAGAAATAATATACCGGGGGGTTAAATAATACCTAGAGCGTCGGTAGTACCTTAGGAGGAAAAGGATAAGGAGAGGAGGCTCTCGAGAGGAGTAATTACCGGGAGAGCGTATCCGGGAAACGAAGAAACCCGGGAGACTTACGGAGGAGGAGGAGACCCCCGGGAAATAGTAATATCCTAGGGAGCGGAGGTAGTACCCGGGGATACGTAGTAGCTCCCGGGTAGGAAGGAAAAAAAGGAAGAGATCCCGGGGAAGAATAAGACCCGGGGAAAGAGCGCCGGGGGGCTAGAAGCGCCCGGTATAATACCCCGGGAAACGAAAGGCCCCGGGAAGGAAACGGCGGAAGTAGTAACCCGGGGAGCGACTAGCGTACTCCGGGGAACGGAGGTAGTACCTAAGGATACGGTACGTATCCTAAGGCGCGGGAAGAAAATAGGTTAGGTTATTAGGGCTAGACGCCGAAGAAAAGGGCGGTAGGGCGTACTTTTCTTTTTTCCGGGAGGGGACCTTATATAATAAGCTATACCTATTATAAGGCCCTAGTTAATACTAGGCTATAGTACGTAATTAGGCCCTTAGTACCTACGGAGGATAAGGCTAGTTATCGTAAGTACGGCTTATAGGGTATACTTTCTTCCTTTTTCTCCTCGTCTAGCTTTAGTTTATTAACATACGGCTTTTACCTAGCGAACAGCTCTTAAAACCGTAATACCTACGACCTTATCGAAGAATAAAACGAGGCGACGGCGGCGCTGGCTCGCTTCATTGGCGCCTGGCGCCA